TCTTTCCACAATGTTCACATAGGTAAGGTTTTTCTCCAGTATGTATCCTCATGTGGCATTTCAAAATCATCTTTTGTCTAAACTTCTTTCCACACTGTTCACATTCGTATGGGGTCTCCTTCGTGTGTACTGTCATGTGCGATTTCATGTTACTTTTCTGATTGAATTTTTTTCCACAATGTTCACATTCATAAAGTTTCTCTTGTTTATGTACCTCCATATGACTTTTCAAATGTTCTTTGTGATTAAACTTCTTTCCACAATGTTCACATTCAAGTGTTTTCAGAAGCAATACTTTAACTTCGTATCGTCTTTCCCCTACATGTGTCTTCAAATGCCTTTTTAAGTAATCATTGTCCTTGAATTTCTGTCCACAATGTTCGCATTCATATGGCAAATTATTTTTATGTATCATCAGATGAACTTCCAAATTGCTTTTTCGCTTGAATTCCTCTCCACAATGTTCACATTCATATTCATCTTTCTCTTCCACATGTTTTTTGAAACTGTCATTTTGTTCATGTTGTTTGATTATTCCACTGCAGTCATTCACACATTTCTCCCCATTGATATTTTTTGTGCTTGTATAGTCTGGTTTTGATTGCAGTACTGGCAAAATATCTGTCATCAAACCATGGTCTTCATCTCGACTTTCTTGAGGACTGTGGCAAATACTGTTCTCTCCTTCAAAAAAAAATTGCAAAGAAAAAAAAAAAAGATTCGTACAGTTTTATTTTTTTAATTCAAAACAAGATTTGACTTTTGCACTATTATGTTGAAATGCATGACAAGATGAATTTAAAAATAAACCAAAATTCACAAAACTTGACACAAAAATGTATATATATATATATACGGGAATTTATAATTTTTTTTTTTTTTAAATCAAACTATTATAGAGTTAAAATTGACATTTAACCAACGAAAATTGCAATGGTTACATTTGTGACAAATCATATACACATCCTGTCCTAGTCAAATTCATAAATGGTAATGGTAATGGTAATGGTGGGATATTTGTAGTGCGCCTTCCACAATAAAATCGTCTCAAGGCGCCGAAAAAAGGTAGGACCAAGAATTTAAAAGAAATTAAATTATATTATATCTTATATAAAGAGCCTATATTAATCATAATATTTTTTATTTTATTTATTATAAGTTAAATAAATATAAATAAATGAATAAAGTAAATAAATAACAAATAGAAAACATATAATTAAATAAATAAATAATTGATAAATAAATTCTTTTATGAAATTTTGAAAACTTATATTTTTAATACTATACAAGCTAATCATGTAGTTAAGTTTAGGCTGCATTTAGTCTTAAAGAAAAACCAGGCTTACGTTAAGCCCGGCTCAATGTTAAGCCTGGCTTAACTTTGTCAGGTGTTCAGAATAGCGAGATTAGCCAGGCACTAGCATTTGCTTATTAATGAACCGTAACCAGGAAACAAGTTCCGAAACATTGTTCTCGAAACGTACGCTCGCTTACTGATTTGTTCACCTGAAGTCAAAGGAAGACCCACGACAGCGATTAAAGCCCGGCTTAGAAAAGTTAGACACGGTGGTACGCCAGGCCTAGTTACTATAGGGACACAGTCCGACTTGAAATAAGCCAGCTAGTTCAGACTGGCAGGTGGATAAACCTGTTGAGTTAAGCCGGGTTTATCCACCTAGTCTGAACAAGGCCTTAGTTTTTTGGTGACGTTCCTGCTTCTGGGGCCCCACGGCGCTTATCTGAATAAATAAATGAAAATTAAATGAAATGAATTTAAATTTTATGACAAAATATATAATCTAAAAATTTTAATTACTGTATACACATACATTTTAACGGGTCTATCTTGAAACAGCGCCACCAGCATCCTACAACTTTTCACTGGGGAACTTCCAGCGGCCTAGCCTAACAGCTAGTTGGTAATTACAAATAGAGCCCCTCACAGCGGATAGCACCGCTACACAATTCGCTTACAGCTGCAGTAGCAAGCAACAGATATATCTTTTCCTAATTATTGTACGAGAACATTGAAATAGCTTTTTAAGACTTAAAACTTGTTTTTAATATCAACGTTTTGTTCTTTTTCCGTTTCAAAATATTTGTGCTCATTGTAGGCCTAATTTAGTTTTAATGGTAACTACGAGAAATACTAGGCATAATTTTATTTTGATGGTAACTATGTAGAGAGTAATGCTAGGCCTAATTTAGTTTTGATGGTAATTATGTAGAGCAAAATGCTAAGCCCCTGGAAGTGGTAGTTGCCAGGTTCTTGGAAATGTTCCTTTAATAAAAAAGAGCACTATCTTTTATTGACAGCTATTAATATCATTCAAATTGACTTGCCTTTTTCATCCATAATTTCAGAATTAGGTTCAATATGTTGTGTATCCTTTTCAGTTTGTGACATGGAAACACAATTGATTTCTTCATCCATGGGTTTACAATCTGGAAAAAACAGAGAGTATACAAAATGTTATATAATCTCTTTGATGGTAAGAAATGTTACCACCTAATTTCCATCAGTTAAGTTAAGAGAATTATCTTTCAGTACATACAAGCTTCTTTCCGATCATGTTCATGTATGTGCAAGCATGTTCACTACGGTATAATCTATGTA